CCCAAGGAGCCATCTTTGGAGATCTTTGGGAATATTTCCTGAAAACCAGGTCAGCCAGGACATCCACCCTGCAGCTCCGGAGCTCCCGGGTGGGGCCTGGGCTTGCTTCCGGGCCCCTCTCTGCCTCCCCAGCTGGGTGGAACTCGGGGTGAGGCCAGGCAGCACCAGGAGGGTGTGGCAGGAGCGGGGAGGTGGTGGAGAGAGACAGGCCTGATTTATGAGGCAAGTAGCAACGGGACCACTTGGCAAGGTGGGCACGCACGACAGACCCTTGGAGATAAGATCCCAGAGGTATGCAAGCGATGTAAACCATAGTGGGGTGAGCACTGCGGTTTCTCCGTACCAGCCAGAGACACCTAGACCAGAGCAGGACGAGGCAGCCGTCTTGGACAGAAGGAGGCCTCAGGACCTTCCAGGGCCTTCCAGGGCCAGGCCTCGATTCCCTCCCCAGCCGTCCTGGACCCCTCATTCTTCCCCATGCTGCCGCCTCTGTGCCACTGCTCAGACCATCCCCATCCCTCCCGCTCAGATTCTGCTTCATCACTGAACCCTGCCCAACTCTGCATCCACTCTCAAGGCAGACCTGCTGCAGAATTTTCCCTGACTTCAGGCTCCCCTTCATCACTGCCTCCAGGCCAGGTCCGTCCCTCGTGGCTCCTCATGGCCCTTCTCACACTCAGCCTTCCTGACCTCCCGCACGTCCCTGGATGTGCCCACACTTCTTGACACGCTAGGGCCTTTGCACTCATGATGCCTTGGCTCCCAAATCCCTCTCTGCTCTGATCTGCTGGCAAACTCCTATTCAACCTTCAAAACCCATCTCCCAAGTCCGCTCTTCCAGAGTCATCGCGGCCTCTCGAAGGTAGAGGGAAGGGAGCCCTCAGCTCCCACTGCCCCCCAGTGTCAGCCCAGCCTTCTTGGTCAGAGAATTCAGCACTCTTCCCAGACTGTACCCCCTTTGACTGGGCTTGTCTAGGCTGGAAGCCTCAGGTGTGCCCTCTCCGGGTCCCCAACTTCCACCTCGGACTGTCCAGGACTCAGAATCTCCAAGTTCAAAGCCAGAGGCTCCCTCCTTTTACGAAGAGGCCATCACTGAGACACCAAAAGGATGGGGCCTCCACACCACCCTCTCACATGTTCACTCTGTCGCCGCCCCCCCCCCCAGCCCAGCCCTGGCCCATTGCCCTCCATCCTGATCACAGTGACCACTGTGAAGGCAATGGCCAGGACTGCTAGGAGAGGGAGAAACTGAGGCTAGAAGTGGGGAGAGGACATATTATTCAAGCCAAACTCAAACGGTGGTAGAACCCATGCTGGTAAACTGCCTTAAGTGACCCTGTGTCCAAACCAGGTTGAGGACACGCCCCCCTCTAAGTAGAGGGCACGGGACCTACCAGCTGGTGCCCAGGCAGGACACATGAACAAGGGAAAGTCAATGTGTACAAGGTCGAGGGCTGCACCTGCTGCCTGCTCGGGGCTGGAGATACACATGGGCCAGGGCAGGCTAGTCAGGTGATGTCCTAGTTGAGCGCCCTGGGGAGGAAAGAGAACCAGGGCGTCGGCCGTCCGCACAAGGCCAGCGTCTGCTGACACACTGCCCAGGCACTGCAGCCACGAGCCAATGGCACAGCCACCAGGTGATGCATCCAACACAGATTCCCTTGGCTCTGGGCACAACCTGGGGACCCACGTCTGCAGACAGCCACGACCCCTCCTCACTGCCCTCCCACAGGAATGCATGACTTGGGATGGAGACTGTGTCATCCAAGAAACATTCCATGTTTTCCTTGGTGCGTGCTCTGGGAACGTGGCGAGAATGCTGTCCACACTGCCGTCCACATACTTGGGCGGCTGCCTGAACGCTGGGCTTCCCGGGCCAACCATGTCCTCAGTCCAAAGGGGCCCGGGCCCTGGAAAGCCACCCTTCTCTACCACCTGCCTGGGAGACCCGGTGGGAATATCTCTGGGTTTGGGATCAGGTTGGAGTGG